GGAGCTAGAAAGGAGTTCCACAAGCAAGAAATGTGAGAAAAAGAAATTGTTAGCATAGAACTTATGACTACATCTACCTTGTCACCAGTCTAGTACTGTGTTACTTTAAGAAAAAAAGTCTAGGCACAGTAGTAAAGAGCTCATCCGAATAATTACTATGAAAGTATTTTATAGAAAAGACACAGGAGGCAACTTTACTGTGCTGGAAAAGTGACTGAAACTGAGCTACCAGATCAGGACCAGTAAAATTGCTGATTCTTCTTTGGAGCTCATCAAGGAGCTCAAGGTAAATAGCAGGGACATCAGACCATATGTGGCAGAAATATTCTAAGCATGGACGAATGGAAGACTTATAATGTATGATAGATTCTGGAGAGAAAAATTGTCTTGCATGACACAGTGAACAAACTTTCTTAGCAGCTGACCTAGAAATGGATTATCAAATATGTAATGCTTACAAATGAATATCAGCAACAAAGCATTTTTTCTTTTTTTTTATTGAACCTTCATTTCTTCAGTGATTTCTTGTTTAGGTGCTTGATACTTAATTTTTGCTACTATCTAAATTTATGAGAATGTGGTGTTTATTTTATTTATAAATGTAATAATTTCATGACTAGCCCACTTGGCATTTTCTTAAAAGGTTTTCTCTTCACTGATTTGCTCTTGTTTTCAAAGAGCCTTATTTCTTTCTCGTTTGTATAACATTTCCTTACAATTACTTCTGACTACTGTTTTGTCCATCTCTTCACATTCTACCAATCAATTGCACACTCCATGTTTAAATCTTGTTCTTTCAAAATGTCAGCTTTTTTTTCTTTCTTCATCTTGTTTCTTTTTTTTCTTTTCTTTCCTCTATTCTTCTACAGCTGTACAAGAAGAACGCCAAAGAGTGAAAGAGAAAGGCGAAGGAGAGGTGGAGAGTACAAGTAGTGCCAACGTTGACATGCCAGTTGAGAGGATTCTTGAAGCAGAGCTAGCTGTGGAGCCAAAAATTGAGACCTATATAGACACACAGGTAAGTTGGTATGACCCTCTTCTTAACAAGTCTTACTGCTCTCTGACTCACTCACCTACTCTCACTCTCTGTCTGTCTCTCTCGCTTTGTGTTTTGGCTATTGTGTGGTTATTTATAAATCTAACCCTACACACATTAATTTGAAGAAATTGTCTGGAAACTCATTTCCTGCAATGTGAGAATTATTGACGTGTGCAGTCACGTTTCTCATGCATTGAAATTTTACAAACACATACAATTGTAAGAATGTAGGTCAGAACATCCCTCTGATTGGCAGGTTTGTGAAAGAGAGCAAAAGGCCAAACCAACCTGGAAAACATCTCCTTGTATGGTTTCAGGTTAACTCTAGGCAAAGTGTAGCATATTTCAACAACCCCTATATACTCACTCCAAATCCTTAAATACTAAAAAAAAAAAAAAAAAAAAACTCAATTGAAACTACTTTAGCAGCATGTGAAAACACATGTACACACGTGTGACCTATGAAAGAGCATTTCTTTAATTGTTCTACCCTGGGTACCAGTTTGCTATTATATGGTTACCTTGGATATGAATAAACTTATTTCAAAACAGAGCAAAGCATGTTCTCTTCCTGGTTCTAAAATCCCAAATATCTTCAGCAGTAATTGTGAAAGCTCAGCTTATGCATACAAGGGTGGGATGGGTGCCATGAATAAGCAAATCTGATAAAGATATTTCACTTCTAACCTGGTGTATTAATATTTATTCCTGCAGATGAGGTCTTTAATTCAGGATGTGTTCTTATAAAATTGAAAAGTATGTACTCTTAGATGCTTACTACACAGGGGAGGGTCTTAATAATTTGGAGAGTCAGACTTTTTCAAAATATGTAATAAATGAGGGGATCTTAATGGGGGGGGGGTGAAAAATCATTTAAAGGGCCAAAATGTGCTTAATTTGAAAAAGATAGTCTTAACTCCTTCCCTGGCATAGACGTGTGTATATATATTTTTACCAAAAATGTCTTTTTCAGACACTGACGATTGAATACATCCAAAACATAATATTCAAAAACCAGCTACAGATATGTTTATATATTGATCTTGATTCTTTTTATGCCCTTCTGAGTTTGAAACTCATACGTCTGATAGAGATGTTAGCCACCATTTGGGTACTTCAAGGTGACTTAGTTACTACATTAAAAAAAAATATTTGAAAATGAAACTTTTTTTCTTTCTTTTTTTTTTTCTCTCAAAATAATTGATGAGGAAGGGGTTAATAAGTCTAGAGGTGGAGTTTGAAAAATATCTTAAAAGAAACAAAAGGAAGCAAGTCTGTGATAGTTAAGAAAAAAAGCTGATTTTTGTAGAGATATTTTTGTGATTTTTATTCAAACATTTCATATTTCTAATTCTTAACTTTCAATTAATTCAGAGATCAGATGTTTAAAAGCAAAACCAAACTCATTCATTCTCTTAAGATTAATCAAAACTGACTGCTTTTGGGATCATAGTCATTTTAACTCCACAATCTTTTCATTAGTGTTTTACCAGGGCTACATAGTGTTTTGTTTTTTTTTGTTTTTTTAAATTATTGGCTAGGAAGAAATCCCAGCATACATCTGTATGATTTTGGGAGGGGGTATGTTTTTGCAGCCATTTCTACCAAGACTGGAACCAACTACTTCATTTGTCATAAAGCCATAATTATGAAGCACTTGCTTCCATGGTAATATGCCCTCCAAAAGAGTGTCTTATAGTGTGATCTTTTATAAACGATAAATACAGTGTAACCTGGGTATAAGAGTTGTCGGGACTGGAGAAGAAGTCTCTTATATCCGGGTTTGGTCTACTTTATATACATTAACACAGGTTCTAATTTGGGACCAGAGAAAATATCTCTTTTATTCGGGTTACACTGTATAAGTAAATAAATTTGATTCTTTTATAAATGACAAAATTCATCTTCTGACTGATAATTCTTGAATGCTTATGAGCTGTCCTTCTCCCAGATTGGTTGCCACCTAAGTCTGAAGAACCCAGTTTGACCTACTATTTTATCCATATCTGGGAGGATTCCTACTCTTTTCCAAGTGTATTTGTGTATATAATGAAACTCTATTGGAATGTGATTTCTCATTCTAAGCTGCTATCCATTACATCTCCCACATGTGTGGAAGATGAATCTAATTTTGTTTTGAGATCAATTCCTCTTCAGTTTAACATAATTTAGGAATCTATGTTCTGATGAACAAGGAATATTTAATCATAGAAAATAACACTTATCAAATTCTCTGCTTCAACATAATGAAATAAAAATACAGACTAATTGGTGTTACATTCACTGTGAACTGGATATAAAAATTGTTTATATTATACCTTCAGTACATAGACATTAAAATGTATAACTTGTTTCATCCTCTAAAAGGACTTCACTGGAGTAATGTTCATATTGATGGAATTATGCACTCAGGGAAAACACTGTAGATATATATCTCCCCCTACATAGATAATGCCATCAATAGGAACAATACTTTAGCCTGAAGTTGTTTTCAAGGATGAAATGCATTATTTAGAACTTTTTCACTTTGTCATTCAATTACTTAACAATTATTCAGATGTATAAAAAAACTTTTTATATATATATATCTTCTCACATTACATACAATATACTTTACTGAAAATTTAGTTAAAAAAATACACTTTTTTTTTTTTTTCTTTTTAAAAAAAACAACTTTTAAATATGCTAACAAAGCAATATATGAATTTTGAATAAATATTTCTCTGTCCATAATTCTGAGAGGAATTTTAATATTCAAATAAAAATTGCTGTTAGAAATCTTCTGATATATGATGGCTGATGAGAAAACTCTTTCAAACTGGAAGATTTTATAGTGAATTTTAATAGATGCCAAAGGCAAATATTGGTGACACATGTGACAGACATAGAATTAGTCTTAAAATTGCTGACTTCTTTATCATATATTTGCCAGTAATTGTAGAAAATTGAATTAAATTAATTTTACTTTGCTTGTTCTCAAGTTTGACAATATGAAATAAAGGCTGAGATGTAGAACAGATTATTAGAATTGTAGTGTATTACATTTAACATTCGAGACTTAACTTGGAGAAAGATCTTTTTTTTTCTTTTTTTTTTTTTTTTTTGTTCTAATTCCAAGTATGTTTGAATAGTTTTCCCCTGTTTGGTATTTGAGGTAAATGTGCTCTTCAGGCGTTGAGAGAATATATAAATGAAATTCAATTGGTATAATAGTTTTGTACTTGTAAAACTCTATTGTGTTTAAATTAGTGGCCACAAATAATTTTATTCACAGAACTATTTGTAGACATTGCTTTGCTGATATTTTATTTCATGATTGTTTACTAGGATGATTTGGTCTGCAAAGAAGTTGCAAAAGTGAAGAAATATAACAAAAATCGAATTCATTACACTAATCAAAATTAAACAAAAAAAATTAAGAAATTGAAATTGGCTTAAATCTTTTAAGAGAAATCTGTTAAGATAATCCTATTTATTGTGAATAAGTGTGTGTGAAATGTTGAAATTGTTCATAATCGCATTTAATGATGAAGCATTTTAAAATAAACAGATCAAGTGTTCAGATATGGGACACAATTGTGTTGTTGTTTATTTGTTAATCTCCTTAAACATTTGATAGTCTTATGTGGGATATAAATGTTCAACATGGCTTTTTACACACTCGCTCAAATTAAATATTTTACAGGCACTCACCAGTATAATCATTTTTACATGGTTAAATGTCTGGGATTGGGGTGGGGGATGGACATTTACTTGATTTCTACACTTCCACTTATCCATTAATTACCTTGGGTTTTCATCTCCTTCACTCACTCTCTTCACCTCATTTGACGTTTATCTTTGGGGATAGTAGGCGGGGAGTACAAATAGTCCAAGTAAATCATCTTATAAGAACAAATACTACAGTTCACTTGTTTCATCATTGTATCTTTCCACTTCATACTCATTTTTCTCCTCCTTTATGGATTTTCTCTCTCTCTCTCTCTCTCTCTCTCTCCCCTGTGCCTCTTTGGTTCTCTCTTTTATTGCTCACATGCTTCAGGCAACCCCTCTTTCTCTCTTCAAGATTCTGTCTCCCTCTTGCTCTGTCACCCTCTTCCATCCGTTCTCTCTCTCCCCCACATGGCGGCGGTTTCTCTCTCTCTCTCTCCCCCACATGGCGGCGGTTTTCTCTCTCTCTCTCTCTCGGTTTCCTCTCTTTGGCGGCGGTTTTCTCTCTCTCTCTCTCCCCCACATGGCGGCGGTTTTCTCTCTCTCTCTCTCCCCCACATGGCGGCGGTTTTCTCTCTCTCTCCCCACATGGCGGGTTTCTCTCTCTCTCTCTCCCCACATGGCGGCGGTTTCTCTCTCTCTCTCCCACATGGCGGCAGTTTTCTCTCTCTCTCTCCCCACATGGCGGCGGTTTTCTCTCTCTCTCTCTCCCCCACATGGCGGCGGTTTCTCTCTCTCTCTCTCCCCACATGGCGGCGTTTTTCTCTCTCTCTCTCCCCCCACATGGCGGTTTTTCTCTCTCTCTCTCTCCCCACATGGCGGCGCGTTTCTCTCTCTCTCTCCCCCACATGGCGGCAGTTTTCTCTCTCTCTCTCCCCCACATGGCGGCGGTTTCTCTCTCTCTCTCTCCCCCCACATGGCGTTTTCTCTCTCTCTCTCTCCCCCCACATTTCTCTCGGTTTCTCTCTCTCTCCCCCACATGGCGGCGGTTCTCTCTCTCTCTCTCTCTGTTATGTGTCAGACTACCTCTCTGTACCTCCTCAAAGTTCTCTGCTCTTTTCCCTTCAGTCTCTTGCTCTCCCTCTGGCTTTCAAGCTCTCTCTCTTTCTGTGCCTAATTATTTGTTGCCAGCACAATAGACTGCAAGAATTACAACTCTTTATTTAATGGATAAAAGAGATTAGTTCCAAGTCTGACAAAGGAGCTTTTAAGAAATAATGTCATTTGGCCAAACTTTGAGAACTGTATTGTGCCAATAATCTTTCAACACCTCACTGTAGAGACAAAGATAATTATTTAATTTGTAAATAAGTTGCATCTTGAAAATTCTTTTATAATCTTCCCTCCTTTAGATGTGAGTCTCAATTAGTTGAATATTAATTAGTAATTCCTCAGATTTAAAAACAAATTACGAAAATAGTCCGAACATGCAAATAACTTGAAATAACATTTTTTTTCTTTTTGTCTTTAACTCGTTTCAATTTGTCTTGTAAGTTTCATATATAAAGTTAGTTCTAATATAGCCTTTTGTCACTTCTATATTTAAAAAAATGTAGCTTTGAGTATTGAATGAAGATAACACTACATTCCTATCTCTCAATTGTTGATTTAAGTATACACAAACCTGTTGTTGTTTTTTCATTTTGGTGTAGAAAATGAGCCTTTGATTAGTAATGTTGGTATTTTTGACTCTCTCTCTCTCTCAGAGATAAGAATATTATCTACTCTATTGGTCGGGAATAGGTTGTACAGTTTAATTTAACTTTTCATATATTTGATTTTGCATGATTTGGGGCAGATGAGAATATTTGTGTCTGCCTGTGTCCCTTTCAAAATCTTTTAAATCAAAATCTATTCTAGAAGGGAGGGGATTAATATGTGGGGGGGGTCACAAAATCTTTTGAGCATAGCTGAGATTCTTTATTTTTATAGCATCATGAAGTCTGCCTGCACAAACTATATTCTTGTAGTATTCTAAAGTTGGTTAGTATAAGTTTTTGTTTATGGACAAACATTGGCTTAAGAGGGAACAGTAATTCATAATGTGTTATAAAATCTAAGATATTGTTATCTATCTATATATATATATATATATATATATATATATATATATATATATATATTATATATTAGTTGCAACAACTGTTTGTAACATCTGTTCAGTCTGTTTGTTATTTGTAAATATATTGCAATTTCCAGTCTGAACAGACAAGACTTATTCAACATTCTGCTATTGTGTAAAATTAGAATAATACAAAAGTCTTGTCACACTTGGAATGTTTTTTTCTTTTATTCTTTCTTTATATTGAAATCAAATAAGGACAGCTTTCACATTCACACTAAAGATAAATTGAATGTGTTATTCTCACCACGATTGACATTATCTAGATAGTGTTTGTGCTTATCTAGACTAACACTGCATGATAGATTTTTGCAATTACGACACTGCTCACATGGAAGAAGGACCTTTTTGCTCTGTTTTGTTGAAAGGGTTAGAAGTTTTAATTATTCACCTGTTTGCCAAATGATAGGAGCCCTGAAACTTTTAAACCAGTCTTATTTTTCCTTTTCAAATATAAACATTGACTACGACATTAAAAGCATTTAATACAAAGCAAACCCTTTTTTTTTTTTTTTTTTTCTACAGGTAAGAAACAAAAAATAGGAAATCATTTTGCTCTGCTTTGAAATTCGTTTTTCTTACATGGGATGTATGTTAATTAATCTTACTAGCTGATACTAATCCTAAAATTTTCCAAATATTTTGTCATTATTAACATTGATAACACAATTTTATTAATATTATATTTTTATCAGTATTACAATGACCAGAAAGGAAAAACTCAAGTTAAGCAATGCTTAGCCTGATCACTACTCTAAGTTAGATCTATGGGTGGTGTAATTGATAATGGTTTGGAATTGTTAATCCTGTTGGGTTTGTTATATTCACTTACATGCAAATGCCCTTTGGAAATATATGGACCCACCTCTTCACCTCCCAGCTATGGGTTAATTAGTAAGACTTGTATCACTAAATCATTATCTCAAAAAAATAAATTCTTAGAATCTAAAAATATTTTCTGATTTTAAATAACCTACAAAAGATTGATAAGCCATAGAAAACCAACCAACCAAATAATCTTTTCAGGGACTAAAATAGGACTTGACTGCCCACTCATTATTCTGCTTTTTAAGTTATTAAATTTTTTACCCTCAACCATTTAAATTACACTGAAAAATTTAAACTCTTTATGTGCAAGTTTTTGAATCGATAGATTGCTGCATGTCAGACTTAGAAATCTGATGCTGAGCTGGCTAACTTATTATGTAATAAATTGGTCAAAAGTGTGCAAAACATCTAGAAGATGACCTCTTTTAGGTTCACACTCTGTAATCCCATTAAGAATGTATTTTTTTTTTTTTTATCAAATGATGAATCATTTTTGAAAGTTGTTTATGAAAACTAGGATGTATTGGATTAATCTACTGATACTAGCAAGGCATCAACAGTCTTGGATGGTTATAGGAGTGTCCTATTTTTCATATATTTCTTGATTTTAATTAAGTTTCAATTCCACACTTAAATATTTATTTATAGACAACCTGCCTGGTTGCTTACAAGAAATCTATCATTTCATCTTGGACAATATAAACAGTAATACATTGTTGCCTTGTCTATATGACACGTCTTGTTTATTATTTAGCAGATGTTGAAATTTGATAAGCTTTAAATTCCAGTGTGGTTGATAATCATTTTTACACAATACAGAAAAGTGTGTAAAATTGAAATTCATTTAATAAGCAGGAGGGGGTGGCACTTTATTTTTTTTTTCAAGTTTTTTTTAAGTCGCCATTTTTTAAGTCGCCATTTTTTAAGTCTCCATTTTTTGGGGTTGAGTGGGTATTTTAACAGATAAAGGATCTCTTATCACTATCCTGAACCTTTCTTTTTCACTTACCTCCCCTCAGTGTGTTTGTCACTTGTCTCTGGTTCTATGATATTAGAAGTTTATGAACTCACTTTAATTTTCATTTGATTTTCTAGCTTAAATGACATCAAGCTAGCTGAAGAGATCTGAACATAATTACACCATTGTGTACACCCAAAATATTTAACTATTTACATTTCGTAGGATTCTTTTAGGAGAGAAAACACATAGTTCTTGATCTATATTTATATTGCTTATTCAGCTTGTTAAATTATCAATATTTCTGTTATGATTATAATCTGTATTAGACATTTATAAGTCTACCATTTGGTGCTTCTGATATGTATCTAGAGTCTTGATAAAATTTAAAAAAAAAAAAATCTGAAAGTTTATGTCCTGACTTGGCATCTCAGCTTCAATCATTGTGACGTAGCTTCTCTGTGCTTTTTCTATAAATATTTTCATGGTAATTGTTCTTTGGTACCTTGAGTTCATGAATTTATGCTTAGCAGTAGATTGGCAGCAAGATCTCATCATTTTACTGTTGAAATTGCTAGATGAGTTCTATTCAAATAGTTTCTTCCCTTATTTCTCACTTGTGGAATTCTCTTCTTCCAGCTTCTTGCTTTTCTATCAAATGCAGCATCAATCGTCATCTTCTGTTTCCGTGACTTAAACTTTTCTCCTTTCTTTTCATTAATATTTGTTTTGCTCTCAGTAACCACATGTATCTTAGTGGCCTCATCACCTTGCTTGAGGTGAAATGATTAATAAAAAAAAATTTTTTTTTATTAAAGTTGCAATTTGAATAAATACTGAAAAGATCCCAACACAAAGAACTTTGTTTATAATGAAGTGATTGTTATATCAGAAATTTCTCTTAATTCTTTTCCATGATGTAAATTTTATGAGAATTAAGCAGTTTTGTCAATGGGTGTCCAATTTTTTAGTTAAGACATTGATGACCCTGGTGAAATGTGTTTCATCTGACAGTGGTTGACTAATTACATACTGTGAATTATTTTTTTTTCTTTTTTTCTTTCAATTAACAAAATAGTTGCAATTTAGTATTTATTTTAACTTTATTATAAGAATGGAAATATTCAGGAATGGGAAATCAGAATGCGTTTAAAAGTGCATTAATCAACTTCTGACCTTTCAACTTATGATCTCATTTTTGGTCACTAACCTTATCGTAAATTGGGGGCCATCTTTATACATGAGGTGTTGCTGAAAAGTTCTAGGTTTAATCAAGAAGTAATTTTATTTTTTTAAAAAAAAAAAAATTTGGTCAGATTTTGGTGTGCATTGGGCTGAGAACTTTTCAGCACCCCTCATAATAATTGCCCAACAAATAGTTTTGAATCTAATGTTCAATTTATTCATTTTTGCAATGGCTGAAAATATCCTTTTATAATTTTGTATGAATTTGCTTTCTCCATTTCTAAGACTGGTCAGTGTTTCTCACGCATCCACTCCCCACTCTTAGAATTTCTTTATTTTTTAAATCCTAGTTTTGGGGTTGTCTCCAAAATTGGGAGTAGTTTTTGATTTTAATTTTTTATTTTAACTTTTTTTTTTTTTTTTTTTTTTTCAACACTCAACTGGTCAGCTGTTTGATAATTTCTACTTTTTTTTTAAATTTCAAATTGCATAAAATAATTCTGTATATAGTGCAGTAGTTGACTAATATGCACCTAACAACTCACATTTCTTTGCAAGCTTTGAACTAAACATTTAAAAGCATCTCAGTAATATTTAAAAAAAAAATTTTTTTTCTATTATTTGCTTTGATAGAATATAAAACACATTTTTCTCTGGCTATTAAGAAATATGTTTCCTCAATCATTTATCAGCCTTTATATTTTTCATGATTTTAACCAATTCTGTTTTTGTTTTCTGTTTTTGTTATTTGTTGTTGTTTTTATTCAGACAATATTATTTGCTTTACTTTTGTATAATTGAAAGAAACAAAAGTGAAGATTGAGACAAAGTGGAAAATTTATTAATGAGGTGTTTTGCTGGTCCGCTCTCTTTGGCTTTCTCAGGTTAGAATGAAAGAAAGACAAAACTGTATATGAGTAAAAATGCATTGGGATGTCTGATTTCTAGCTATCCTTGGAGATTCCAAAGAATTTTTCCTCACATACATTTTTGTCTTTCGTTTATTCTAACCCGAAGAAGAGAGCTCTCAACAAAATGTGTCATTAATAAATTTTCAACTTTCTCATCATCTTCATAATTGAAAGAACAAAGTGAAACTGACAGTGATTTTGTTTGAACCTATTTGCTCCTCATCTTTTGTGTTTTTGTTTTGGTTTTGGGCAAACCAATGCTACAAATGGAAAAAAATTTTATGGATCAAACTCTCTCCTCTTGACTATTAAGCTTCCCATTCATTGACTAGAATATATTTCTCATATCACATCAAACATTTCTTCATTTGCTACAGTATTTTAAAAAAAAAATGGTTATAGGTATGTTATCATCCATTAATTCATCAAAGTAAATAGGTTTACTGATTAGATAAGTTGTACTTAAAGGTATTCTTCTCTTTTAAATAAGTTAGGCTACATAAGGTATAATTTTATTTTTTTCTCTTTCTTTAGCAAGACATTTGATCTACAGAAGATTATTTATCCCTGAGACATTTTATTATACTCTGGTTCTTCAAGTATGATTCCTCTCACCTCAATAAATGTGTGTGTGTGTGCCCGCATGTGCATGTATAATAGTGTATATTATAGGTATTTCAACTTGGTTTAGTATTGCACCTGCACAGATGTGTAGGGGATCCAGTGAAGATCAGTCACAATAGTATTAATAGCTTTTTAGATTGTTAACTGTTATATGTCCTTAAAAAAAATTACCATTGTCATTTAAGGTGTAAAGAATATTTGTGCTACAATGGGTTTCAAATTTAATGTTATTTTCTTTTATTTGTGAAGAGAAAGATATAATATTGTCAACAGCTAAGTTTTTCAAATCAAAATGTCAAAGTGCAGGTAGACAATGTTTAAGAATAGCAAAATGTTTTGTAGATTATTTTAAAGGCCCCCTCTCCCAAAAAATAAAATAAAAATAAAAAATGTATTTTTTCCTGTGACTGGCTCTTAATTTATCATTCTGAAGAAGTTGATAGTGTTTGTATTTTTTTTTTCTGGTGAGAATTACCTGTTAATAATTTCAGATAATTTTTTTTTTTTTTTTTTTTTTTTTTTTTTTTTTCAAGAATAATTCATTGCTTACAATATTCAAGTAAAGAAATTGCCAAAACACATTGAAACAAAAGATGAGTATATTAGTTCAAACAAATCTAACTTCAATGACCCCCCCCACTACCACTACATCAATAATAAAATGTCCAGAAGCACACACACACACACACACACACACACACACACACACAGCCCATTATAATTTACATATCCCACCCCTTAAAAAAAAAACACATTGATTAAATAAGTAAGAATTTAAAATAAAGGTTATTATAAAGAATAATGTTCACTATTATTTTAAAGTTTTGAAAATTTTTCACAAAGATTGTGTTTTGCTATAAATTTATTGCAATATTTGTTGACAATTAATTTTACCTCGGCTATGTCTGTGTCACTTGTCTTTTTATGCTCTTTACAGTTGTTTGACCATTGTCCTATACCTGATATTAGTGAATTCTTTGGTTAATTTTATTTTTCATTTTGCATGCAAACAGGCAGATCACAATAAAAAAATCCCCCCCCCCCCGACTTTCTAAACTATCCAGGCCCCGAACTCTTAGCTTATTGTTTTTTTTTTTTTGTTTTTTTTTTTTTGTTTTCTCTTTAAAATGGTTCACAGATGCTTTCTACATATTGAATACATGGTGATTCTGGTTTACAAATTTACAAGATGATGGCTTGAAAAAAATGTATGAAATAACACAAGTCCCTGCTATGCACTGATCCAGGGAAATGTATACTTTACAACTGTCCCATGAAGGACACATCGTCCACTGGATAATAGCGTTGGTTGAATCCAGTAACTTGACCCAAAGAGTTGTGAGTTCAATACCTGACTACTTCAGAGGTGAACAAAAAAATTGGAGTGTTGAGTTAAAGGGAGATAACTGATACTGAATCATTTGGAAGAGACATGGCACAGTGGACAAAAAAGGGTTCAGTTTGAAATTCCAATCACTTGAAGATCAGAGCATACAATAGCCGAAACATTGTGAATATGGCAACAAAGATGAGGACAACAGTCCAATGTAAATAGTGTAAATAAATAAATTTTTGTAATTGTTTATAACTATTATAAAACTAGATTTATAATTGTTAGTGTAGACAGGTGTAGATATGTTTGCCTATTTCAATTCACACACCTCACCAATTGTTGGAACAGGAGTAGGTGTTTATTCCTGTTTAGGATTGAGTTTCTAATGTCTTCTCATTCTCTTTCACTTCCAGTGGCCTCTTGCATCTTAGTGGCATTATCACCCTGCTGGATGAGTTGATTTAATAATAATAATAATAAAAGTTAATACCTAATTGTCTGCTTTATCCCTGCTTAAGAATTAGAATGTTGTATTCTTCTTGGCCTGTTTACAATAATTAGCCAGAGAATAATACCTGTTCTTTAATTACTAGATATTTAATAGAAACACACAAGGCATATCAAAATGGACACAAAAGACACTGCATTCAAAATCTAGTTCTCAACATAGTCTTCTTCCTTCAAAATTGTGATATTCCACCTCTGAAAACTTGTAAAAATTTTTATTGTCTGCCTTCTTAGCCATGTACTTTGATGGTTTCCTTCATGAGCCAAAACAGATGAAAGTCAGGTCAGGATTTTTTTTATTTTTATTTTTTTTATTTTATTTTATTTTATCCATTAACCCCAAGAAAGGCAATAAAACGAGTAGAAGAGTAAGAAAAGAGCTCAGAAGGAAATGGAAACCTAACAATAGTAATATTTTCCAAATTTAGATGGAAACATAAGTATAGTTGAATTTAGAAGGAACTAGAAACCCAATCTTAAAAAGGAAACCAATAAACCTTTATTCCTGTTCAAAACATAGGGGAAGCGTGTGAACCTGACAATAAGCAAACCTATCTACTATTGAGAAAAAATAGTAAATAAAAGCTCAGAGTTTTAGGCAGAGACGTGAGAAATATAGAGTTGAAGTAGAATTTACAAAGAACCAGAAACCCAATCCTAAACAGTAAACAAGGGATAAACCCCTACTCCTGTTCAAAAGACCAGAGATTGTAGGGTGGGTGTGGCTAGATTGTCCAGTCAGCTGCTGTGATCACTAGTCTGATCTTGCATTGTTATATAGTTAAAGCATGTTACTCCTTTGCAAATATGGTCTAACTTGCAATCATGTACAACTCTGAATTGATAGTGGTACCATTAGGACCCAGGAAAGTGTTATCCATGTTGTACAGCTCCATGAGCTATTGGGCAGCAACTACTCTCTGCTCTTTCATGGAGTCTGTTGGCATTCTGGGAATCCACTTTTTTCTCAGACATTTGAGTAGCCAAGAGACTATACCAAACTGTAAGCACCACTATGGCTCCCCTGAAGGCTTTCTTCTATCAGTTGAACTGCCCTGTATTTGTCCTTTTAATTCCGGGAGTTAAAACTATAAGTTTAATACTTTGTTATATTGGGTTGATGTATGACAAATGAAGCAAGTAGCAGACTGAGATTGAACCCTGATTGTGCTTGTAGCAGTCAACAGCAACATTTTAGTATTTATTTTTATATTTCCTGCTCATACCTAAAACCCTACTTTTATTCCAAAATGTCCACTTTGAAAAACAAAGCGAGTCAGGTAAGCATTTTTTATTTTATTTAATTTTTTTTTTTTTTTTCTTTTTTTTTTAATTATTTTTATTTTCTTTTTTACAGGGGGAGGGGGTAGTAGATAAGCAATCTGTGAACCAATTTAACCAAAAAAATCCATTTGAAATCTCAAATTTCCTATGTTATGTAGTACAATAGTTTATTCATTTATTATAATATTTTGTCACTGAATCCATTGATATAGAATAGATGGCATTGTATGTCCTTTCCTGTCTTGATAGATTTCATTTGCTTTGTCCAGATGTGGAATGCCTTGTTTTTGTCCTGTATTGGTCAGATTTTAGAAAATTTTGTTTCAATAATCATTGTGAAATTTGGATTTTTCAAACACCATCAAGAGCGGATGATTCACTAGACATTAACTCTATAGTTTTACATCATTTTAGAAGAAGAAGAAACACTTTTTAGTAAATAATAATTAAAATCCTAATAATGATTAAAATGACTTTTCTGCATTTTTTTTTTCCTGTCTAACTTTTATCATACTAAAAGCAAGCAGATATGTATAACAATTCCTGTGTTGATTAAAGTGTCTGATCAGCAACTGACATATCTACTATATTGGTGTTCTGTTACTTGGACAGCATGATAAAATTAACCTGCAATTATACACTAACTGGTCTTGGGCAGAGAAGCAACATTTTAGTACACAGATACCAGATGGAAGTGCCAATTTATCTTTTTTTTTATGGGTACTATACTAATAAACAAAAAAAGCAATCAAGATATACTGTAGTTTCAAAACCCTAGCTACCAATAATCTTTAAATTTGTATTTGTGTAACTGTATGTTATAAAATTAGATTGGGGGAAGAGGTGATGGCTGAAAAAAAATGTACATGTAATCATTGTAATTAATCTTTATAAACTGCTTCTATTTGTCTCCCATTTTTCTTTCTCTTCGTATCAGTTTAGATAGAAACAATGGGTGGACAGAAAATAATTCAACAGAAAAAAAAAGTTTTCCTTATCAATGTATGATAGTTAATATGGCTTCTTTCCAGCTTAAATAAAATTTTAAATATATATTCTTGAAAATATCTCGTCCTGCACTTGATGACTAAAATCAATACCATAGCAAGTTAGTGTCTTCCCAAGACATTTTCTAGTTTCTTCTTCTTCAATTGTAATCTATTTTCATTTTTATACAATTTGGAGGAATAGGAACTCCAAAAAGACCAACTAATTGAATCGTTATCTTAAATTTTATATTGGCAAAATTATATCTTGCATTGTTATATCTTGAAATAAAGTTGTTTTTCATCTGTCTATATTTCTGAGATGAGGTAGTGTAACTATTTACATTGTTCAGACTGTTGTCCTCATCTTTATTGTCATATTCACATTTCAGCCTTCTTCAGGTGACATACATTGGAATTCTGGGGCAAATTGTTCTAGTTTCACTTGTCATGTGAAAGTAGAGGTGTGAGTTTAATATCTAGCCACAGCAGAGGTGAACAAAAACTTGGAGAGTTGAGATACTAAAGAGAAATAATTGAAACAGATATTCTCGAAAAGGCATGACATGTGGAACTAGAACAATTTACCTCTGTGAACTAAATAAAGGATTTAGTATGAAAATTTCAGTGTATAACATTTAAAGAAGGCCAGAGCCTACAGTGCTTGAAACATTGTGAATATGACAATAAAGATGAGGACAACAGTTCAAAGAATGTAAATAATGTAAAAAGTTGTTTTTTTATTTAACAAATTTCTATTGGCATGCTCTGGTAGACATTCAGGCTTAAATTTTGCCATTAAAGTTATAAAAATTGTGATGTCTAGTATTTTAAAATCTCAATTTCATTAAAGAAATTAATAATTCTCAGATTTCAGTTGAAATTTTCTGTAATTATTATTAATGTAACCAAGAGCGAAAAAAACTGAAACAAAGAAGTTTTAGTTTGAAAACAACACAAAATGATTGTAACTGTTAATAAATATGGGATTGCTCTACAAGAAATAATTTTTTATATGAATATACCAGGGGTCTAAAAGGACTCTTCATGGTGTATGGAAATATCTTTATTTGGTAAATCTGGTTTTCATGGAAATGTGTCGCAGTTCTTCTATTTTTGATGTTTGACAATTTATGTAATTGTTTCTTACTAACAACCTGCCTCTTTTTTTCTTTTACCTCCAACCTCACTTTCCTCGCTTGCACTCTTCCCAACTGATTTTATTCATTCTCTCTATTCATTTTTTTTTTTTTTTTTTTTTAGAAATAATTTTTTTTTTAATCCTTAATAATTATGCTGATATAGAGAGGCCACTACTCTTATTTTTCAGGTCTCACACGACTGTCCCACCATAGAGAAGGAGGCCAACTCTGAAGAAGTAAGCGAAACAAGGAAAAACAATTTTGCTAAACTTTTTCACATTTTTTTTTCTCTCATTCTCTCTCTATCCAGACTATATAATATGTGCACATGTAAAAATGCACAAAATTTACACATTTGGATGCATCTGGAAAAGTAAACTTTGTTTTTTTTTTTTTTTTTTGTTTTTTTTTTTTAATTTGAAGATTAATTTCAACAGTAAATGATATTTGGATAATAAAGCACTAAATCTGTCTGTTGTTTTGCTGTATAAAAAGAAACCTGAAGCCAGTTTTTTTAGCCTCTCTTAAAAATTCAGGTTTTCCTGTTGTACTGGCCCAGTTCAATTTCATATGAATGAATATTAGGCCATTTATTAAAAGCAGGAATTTAATCTTTAACAGCAATGAGCAACGAACAGCTGTTAGGTCCTTCCATTATAGATTTTTTTTTATTTTTTTTTATTATACTTTGCTCTCTTCTGTTTCCCCTCTTCTGCCTTACACACACACTCTCTCTCTCCCCCCCTCTATACAATTCCAGCATCTGTCAATTTTTTGGGGGTGATGTAATTTATGCAGTTGCTAATAATAATTAATTAAAAAAGAATAGAACCTCTAAACATTTCTTGAATCCTGGTCAAGTCTCCTATTTTCATGTTTATGCTATTGGAAAGGCATGAATCCAATCCTCCCTGCATCCTGATCTATACCCTGTCATCCCAGCATAATATTGTCACTGGCAAATCATGTTAAAGTGTGAGTTAATAAATGGACAATCCATTCTTTTCATAATTAGAAAGATTTCGGTTTACCATTTATTGTAGTTGTTACATTATATGACCCATATAGATGTCTGTTTTCCATAACCAAAAAAATATTTCTGATTTCAACAGTATTTTTTATTTTTTGCTATTTCTTTCTTTCTATTTACATTTGGACCAATATCTTCATCTTTGTTATCAGAGTTTGATCATTGTGCTCTCTGACCCTCATGTCAATTTGGCTCACCTTCAGGGAATTTTGAATTGAATCCTTTATTTAATGTACAGTTCTGCTTTGCAGGGTCAGTTTTAAATTTCTTGAAGATTATCCAGATTGACTTAGTGTTATAGACAAGCATATGGTTGCAAGAAAGAAATACGACAACAGCAGAAATAGATTTACGTGATTTATTTCAATAGGAACGTGTGGGTTTGGGACAGCTACCTTGTGGTATAGTTCATAAGCCGGCTGGGTTGATCTCTCATAGTAGTACCGTGACAGATCTCTTCCCTGGCCTTCTGTTGACTGCTAGTACTTCCCTGTGTGACCCTTTTTATGGCTTAACGGGCTCGAAAAACGACGTGAGCATAATTAGGAATGAAGCATTTTTATTGGTTGAGAAATAGGAACACTTTAAAATGTTATTTTATTTATCGACCGGAACTCGTGCATCGGGCCTATGCATAAACGACGATAATGGTCATTTTGTGACAGGGCCTTGTCCCGTTCACATCCGGCTCTCGCTCTTGAGTATGTTAGTTTATTTGCCCGCAAATCAGCCGAGATATATCTTATTTTATTTTATAACATTAGTCACCTGAAGAAGGCCAATGGGCAGAATGACTGAAATGTGATAACAACAAATTTTAGGACAATAGTAAATAATTGCTCAGCCTAGAAATTCAAACAAATTATTTTTTTTCTAATTTAAAGTTCTGCTTTAGATGATTTTTTCTTTTTCTTTTATAAGCTAAAGTTCTCATGCTAATGAAGGATCTTTTGTAACTTGAAGAATGGCGGAGTGCTGACTAGACTGTTTTACTTGATGTCTATTAGTGTACCTAGAAATCTAGGAATCTAGAGTTCATTCCTATATTTTCAACCAGCAAAATCTAGAATTTTACTCTGATTCATAATTCTCATTGTCTAACATGCTGTCTATGCTCCCCCCTTTTTTGCTTGACACCTGAAAATGTTAGCAGTTGAACAAATGAATCTAACCACAATGTGTCTCTGGTTCTGTTGATTATTCTTTGATGAAAACTTTATTTATATTTGAAATTATTTTCATTTTATTTATTTTTAAGCCTAATCTTCTTTGTTGCTCCCAATGCCTAATTCCTACTTAATCAATTTTGTTTCTGTTTATATTAATTTCAAATTATGTTTGCTTGTATTTTTTATCAAAGCCTTTTCATCAGCAATATATAAATATATAAATTTTATTAGAATTTGATTGCTTTAATTATCAACATGACTTAAGAAAAATAATCAGACTTCCAAATTAGGCTTTAGCATCAATCTCCTTTTCAAATATCAACAGCTGCAGGGAATAACTTGCATGATTTCAAATCTTAGATTTCATCCAATTTGTCTTATCTGTGGAAATGATAAATGATAAAACTTTCATATCAATCAAACTACATGGTTTTGGGTGTTTTTTTTTTTTTTTTTACTAGACTTAGTTTTTCTCTTTCTCTTTTTAAGCTTATAATTTATTTCTAAAGGGAAATTAACCCAAATTCACTGTATACATTCAGTGTTATTCCCTGGGATGTTTGTTAACAGGTATTTCAACAATAAGCAAAGCCTTGATATAAATCCATATATGATATCTTATCACATTTATACTTAGAAAAAGAAAATTGATATGGTGTGATGGCTTGCAAGCTTGTCCCGCTAGATCAATTACAACTGAAAAGTGAGTTCAATCCTCACTGGGTGCCCCATACCTTGTACCACATCTAAGCTATGCTTAGAAAATCCCTATACTTAAAATCAAAAAACTTTCTAGGACACATGAGGAAAGAAGGCTTGGGAAAATTGACACTCACAGGGCTTATTGACAGATGGGAGAAACAGCAAGTAAACTCCCTAACAAGCTTGTATATATGGATGACAGAACAAGGAATAGGTGGGATAGTAAAGACACATTACTAATAGCTACAAAGAATAGGAAGTTGTGGAGGTACTTGATCGCTCATATCCTGAAAGGACAAGGTACATCGACAATTATAGTGTATTCATTTTTTAATAATGACTGTCAAAAAAAGATTGAAGCTTTGTCTTCAGATAAAGATTTCCATAAATGTTTATAAAATTAAACTTAAAAGAAAACCCTTTTACAGACTTGTTTTCTGTTTACCATTTAAATTTACAATGTATTCGTCACTTCAGATATTATGGAAATCATTTTATATACATTAGCAGTTCATTCAGCTCTGCTTTGTTGAATGTTTGCATGTTTTTTATGATACATGCCTTTCCTAAGGAAAATAAATGGTAGCTGATCACTGGATTTGAAACTGCTTCATCATCTCTAAATGCACAGAGATAAACAATTCAATCATTAATCAAAATGATAAAAAACAAAAAAAAAATGTAAATTGTTTGTGCATTTTCCTTTCTGCTAAAATTCATGCAATGTTCTTTTTCCTCTTTTTTGCTGTTGAAATTAAATACTGTTTGTCATCAATTCGACAAATTGATGCCTCATTTTGAAATTAATCAAGGTTTTCTTTTTAGAAGCTTATCGCCATGAATATGAGCCTTATTTTTTCAGTATCATTAATGAAGTGTCACTTTCAAATCTCTTTGATAGGGTAATTAATATAATTATGCACATTTTAAATCTAAAAAGTTTCTGGCCTTCAGCCAAATGGAAATACATTATAAAATCACTCCTCCACCCACAAATGATAAGGAAATAGCACAAGTAATCACATGAAATATCTGACTGATTTTTTTTTTTTTTTTTTTTTTTTTATTTATTTATTTATTTTTTTTTTTTAAATCTTGTTAAATGGTTTGGGGTTCAATTTAAGACTTTATCTACTGTCTTTTGTCTCTTTACTTGTAAAAATCATAAATTCAACCACATTGAATTTGAAAAAGGTTTCATACTAGCTATCTTAGCAGCAGCCACCCTTAGAAATACCAATGAAATTACATTACCCAAGAGATATTTACTGGCATTAAAAAACTCCAGTAATAATTCAAATTCCAATAATAAAAATTGTAAAATCTAAGGATGGACAATCTTATTTATTCAGTACAAATGGCTTATGTATAGATGGGTATTTATTTAGTCTGGCACAAGGGCAACTGTTATTCAGTTTAACTTGCAACAACATTGCTATTTAATCTCTTTCTATTGTCAACTGCATTTTTTTAAGACTTTGTTTGCAAGCCATCTCATTATTGACATGTAATCTGATTTAGGATAATCTCTTAATACATAACATTTTATCCGCATTTAAGTTCTTTATAAACTCATACATATTCTTTCATGTTTATAACACACGCACACTTATTGTCTTACAAAAATGCTGTTGATATTAAAATATCTTAAAACTGATTTAACCTTTAGCACAATAATTGTCAGTCGTAGAATTCTTTCCCTTTGCATGCTGTAGGCGCATTCTGTCGCCTCGAGAGGGTTGCTATAAATAAACACTTGTCAACTGTTATTTCTGGAAATAACATTTGACAAATGTTTATTTATAGCAACCCTCTCAAGGCAATAGAATACACTTACAGCATGCAAAGGGAGAGAATTCTACAAACGACAATTGTTGCCTCCAGGGTGCTAAAGGTTAATGAAAACAATGAAAATAGAGAAGTAAATTGGGTTCACGATTTTGTACACACACACACACACATATATATATATATATATATATATATATATATATATATATATGTAATATGGCAGCAATCTCTCTTTTTATTTTTTCTCCTTTTTCTTTTTTTTTTTATGTACCTATCTGAAGTTATAGGAATATTTTATTTTACAAACATGGTCAGCACATCATGGTCATATTCATAGTTAATGTTATTGAGTATTGGCTTTTTCTTTTTCCTTATTAGTGCTTTCATTATTTTTAGCCTTTTTTTTAAAAAATCTTTTTAACATGTGGATGAGGCTATTTTGGATAGTTTTTACACACTTTGTGTCCACAAAAGAAAACATTTCTATGAACACAAGAAAAATTAAATACATACACATATTTAGGCAGCATATCTTCATTGAAAC